AATACATATTTTATTTAATTTTAAAAAATTCAAAAATAAAACTTTATTATTTATTCAAACATCAGCAAAATTAATATTATCCCAATTATTGTAATCCTTCTCTCTAAATTCATCATTTCCAATTAACTCATCATTTTCTTTATTTATTGTAAGATTATCATAGTCAAATATCATATCATCTTCAGAACTATCACTTTTAACTGAAATGCCACAACATTTGAATGAATTAAAAATTAATTTGTATCAATTTTTTCTCATGCATCTTTTACCCAGAACATACTAAAGAATATAAAGGTTTTTTAATATACCCAGATGGAGTTAATTCATGAATTTCATTTGTTATCCAATCATTATAAAATTCACGAATTTATTAAATTAAAAATCCTTTTAATTATATAATAATAAATATAAAAATAATAAAAAATTTATTAATTATACTTACTTTAGATTTAAAACTTTTGTTAATTGATATATCAAGATGTTGTAATTTTGATGTTAATCCACCAGGAATTACTGTCATATTTAGAGCTCTGAATCAGATCAGGTCAGCCTGTCAGCCTGTGACCCAAACTGACTCAACCTGAAAAATCCAGGTCAAATAAACAAATTTTCAGGTCAACATCAGGTCAAGCTTATGACCCGATCTGATAAAATTCAGGTCAACCAATCAAATTAAACGAAATAAAATATTTAAAAAATTTTTTTTTTGATCTATTTTTTTTTTAAAACATCTTTAATTATATACAACAATTTTCCAATATTAAAATAAACTTTACGAACAAAAAATGCCAATAACTAGACAAACGAAAAATAAAAACGCTAATAATAACTCTCAAACTCTTTCGAATAATAAAAGAAACAATAACAACACGAACGCCAACATTTCTACTAGCTCCAGCCAACAAACTTTACTTACTGAACAGACTGAACAACCAAAAAAAATCAAACTCTCTTTCGATAATTTTTCCCAAAATATAGAAACACCTTTAGAACAAACTATTAACAATATTATTACTGGTAACGACTTTATTC